ACCTGGCCATGCCGGGCCTACTTATAAGTTGGAGAATTATATTATATAAGAGGTTTTAGAGCCTATGGGCATATTTTCAACTGAAGGGATAAGCACTATTGAATGACTGTCGTCCTTGCAACTGACGAGGCCATAAGAGTACGTGGGGTGCTCGATAGTGGATAATTAAAGCGATGGAAAGCAAACTATGGCGTGACCTCATTCTTTAACTATGGAGTTTGTGCTGTGAAATTTAATATTGTCTTTCTTTCTTTTTTGTCTTCACACTACATTCGTGTATGGCCCTTTCATGCTTAATGCTTGGACGGTTCAAACTGGCCCATTTCTGTGTCCTTGTTAGTTGATTAATCCCCCCCCCCACTCCTACGAGTTTGGGGTAAGATTTATAACCATTAATTAAAGGCTACACACGATTCTCAAAGTTATTCCTGTGTATCACATCACCTTATTGCTAAGGCAGGTTGATATATAATGTCACCTTTTCATGTATTTCAGGGGGCGGAGCGTAAAACTCGAGATGAAGAAAGGAGAGCAGCGAAGCGCAGATTGACTGCAACAGGAAGTGAGTGTCATTATGTCTGTTGAACATTTCATTTCTTTATACAAGTAATAATAATAATAATAATAACATTTTATAAGTACATCAAAAATCGCCATTGCTTTGCAATAACAACAACAAACAAAATTCGCCAAACGTTGAGGTATTTGGACTTAGATATTATTTACGTAATGATGCAAGTTCCCGTAAAAATATCCGCAGTGTCTAAAGATGCTCGTTAAAAACATGATATTCGAAAAGCATGTAAAGTAAGAAAGTAAACAATTTACGGTTGAAAAATTTAACCCTTTATTGCTAAGGTAAGAAAGTAGACAATTCATTTTTTTAAAATTTATCTGTTTACTCCTAAGTTAAAAAAGTAGACAATTCGTGTTTGAAAAAGTTATCTGTTTATTGCTAAAGTAAGAAAGTAGATGATTCACGGTTAGAAATATATCGCTTCACTGCTAAGCTAAGAAAAATAGACAATTTACGGTTGAAAAAATATCTATTTACTGCTAAGGTAAGAAAGTAGGCAATTCATGTTTGAAACATTTATCTCTTTACTGCTAAGGTAAGAAAGTAGGCAATTCATGTTTGAAACATTTATCTCTTTACTGCTAAGGTAAGAAAGTAGGCAATTCATGTTTGAAACATTTATCTCTTTACTGTTAAGGTAAGAAAATAGGCAATTCACGGTTGAAACATTTATCTCTTTACTGCTAAGGTAAGAAAGTATGCAATTCATGCTTGAAACATTTATCTCTTTACTGCTAAGGTAAGAAGGTAGACAATTTACGGTTCAAAAATTGATTCCTTTACTGCTACCCTTATAATACAGTAATCTTAACAATAGTATTTTTATTGTTCATTGTGCTGTTCAGTAGGTGCCTTAATAATTATAGTTGGACAAACGTGACCCAATGGTCAGCGTGTCGGACTATGGATTTGCTTGTGAACATTCGCATCCCATTACCACAAAGAAACAAACAGAAATCACGCTCCACACTTTGAAGCTGTCAGTCTGTTATAAATGAAGTAACGGTCAAGTCCTACTAATCACGCTCCACACTTTGGTGCTGTCGGTGTGTTATAAATAAAGTAACGGTCAAATCCTACTAATCACGCTCCACACTTTGGTGCTGTCGGTGTGTTATAAATAAAGTAACGGCCAAGTCCTACTAATCACACTCCACACTTTGGTGCTGGCGGTGTGTTATAAATAAACTAACGGCCAAGTCCTACTAATCACACTCCACACTTTGGTGCTGGTGGTGTGTTATAAATAAAGTAACGGTCAAGTCCTACTAATCACGCTCCACACTTTGGTGCTGGCGGTGTGTTATAAATAAAGTAACGGTCAAATCCTACTATTCGGTGAGAAACTATTAGCCCAAGAGATGGCGGTGGGTGCTGTTAACTAGCTGCCTTCCCCCAAGACAATAACTTCAAAATTAAGGACGGTTAACACAGATAGACAGTCCTCCAGTAGCCTTGCATGAATACCCGAAAACAAACAAACAATAATTACAGTAACTATAATATTATTGATTTGTAGATTAAACCGTTAGTTGGAGGACCTTTTGACAGTAAAGTTTATATATAACCACTGTTAAAGAAATGTAGAATGTATAACTTTTTGTTCTTGAACTGAAAACTTAAAGCACTTATTGTGATTGAGTTATCTAAATTGGACACTTTGATTGACTAGTATAAGTAGTAACCTAGTTAACTGATTCGTAAGTGTTATATGGTTTAGGTACCAGGAAAAAAATGGAAGAAATGTACCACCCGCCAAGTGACAGATCAGAATTTTACTCCATGAGTGACCTGTCCAAACCTCCAGCCTTCTTCAACCCAACTATAGACATGGATAAACTCACCCAAAACAAGGTATTTATGAAATATTTGATAAAGTGACAAAATGCTGTTTATGAGATTGTCACATTGAATTTGCTACGCATTGAAAGTTTTTAGTAGTTGGTAGATTTGCTGGATGTTTTGAGTCGTATCTATTACAAGAGATCCAGACTAATAATAGGGAGGCAAGTAACGATCTATAAGCATAAGAATAAGTTTTATTGTTCCGCCATCAATAAAATTCTTCCTTAAGCATATAAATCCTTGTTTGCCTACCTATTATTATATTAGCATAACGTGTTTCTTACTCAAGATCCAGACTAGGAAAATCTTTTCCACACTCTTACAAGTTATCCATATAAAAGTATACAGAACATGGGCGTAGCTATGAAGTTATAGTAAGAGAGACTTAGTTCCAAAAACTTCCGATACATGCACTTAAAATTATATATATATGCACTTCAAATATTTGTAAACTCGGATAAATCCATAATTCTTGAAAATTATATGTGCACGGGTTATTTGAATCCAAAACTTATAATAAGCATTCAGTTTTATTTTAATTTTTATTAAAAAAAGTTTCAAAACTGGAGGTTAAACTTTCCTAGTCCCATATCTAGCTACTCCAATGCAAGTATTATGTTTCTTTCACTGTACAATCTATTGAGACCCTGGATAGTACTTTAGGATAGAGTATTTTGCGGTAAATTTACGATCTGACGATACTAAAATTCGGAGTTCAATTCCCACAGATACCCATTTGTGTGTTTTATCACAGATAGTTTTGCGGTACATCAACGTCATTTTGATTCAAGATTTATTTAATCGAGTTTAGTTACACTAACCGAAAAGTTCTTATCAAAATGTTTAGTCAAAATTACGTCTAAAATAGCTTTATTGTTGTTGTTATTACCGTGTAAGCTGAAGCTATAAAGAAAGTACTAGAATTATTTTCGTAGTTTTCTGTCCTACTTTTTACCTTTTGTTGGTTTATCTTCTCGTTCAACATTATTGATATATATTTGAAACGTTATAAGATCAGTGAAAGAGAAGATAGAATTATTAACGATTTCGTTAGTTGAGAGACATTCCGCCACTTCAACCAGCCAGTGTAAGACACTTTAAACTGATTCGCTAAACTATTGAAAATTCATTCAAAGTATAAAACATCATCTTTTAATGATTGACAGAAACAAATATCAAAATTCAACAATATATGAATATTGGCGTAATGTAATTCGCATCTGCATACAAAGATGGCACTATCTGAAATATGTATATGCGATTTACATTTACGCATTTTAAACAAAATTCAAAATTTAGAACTTTTTATCTTGAAATAGATTTTAAGATCATACGATGAAAACGTTTTAACTGACTCTTTCTTGTAACAGAGTGTTTTTACTTTTTCCCCCTCGTGCTTCGTAACTTATACCCATTTACACTGGTTGTAAACGGTGATTTTTTTTATTGTGAGCAAGTTTTTATATCTATATAAATTTTTTAATGTGTAAGTTAAAATTGTGGTGGCGGTTATGGAGATTAAGCATTTAACAAATTAAATCATCTATTTGTAGTGGAAAAAAAAAAGAACCGGACGTGGCCTAGTTGTTAGTGTGTTGGGATGCGAATCAGAAGGTCCAAGATTAGAGGCGCGATTACACTGAATACTTTCTGCACTTTCAGTTTTGAGCGCATTATAAAAGTGACAGTCAAAAACATCATTGATAAAGCCCCTGTGGCGACGAGTGCTAATCATTGTTACTACTCCTTTTGTCAGCAGTTCAAAATTAATGACAGCTATGCCTGAACCCTACGTGGCGTGAGAGTGTCGATCAGGTTGAAAATATCATTATCATTAAAGGTCACAATGGAAATAGTTAAACGATTGACAACAGAACACTTTATTATACATTTTTCATCGTATTTACCTTGATTTTTTTTTACCTTTGGAACTTAAAATATTTCTTCATTAAAATGAAAAATTAATTTTTTTTTAAATTTTAAGGCTGGAATTTTTGTCGATATATGTATAATATATTATCAGTTTGATCTGAATGTAATATTGTAACGTTGGAATTGGAATTATATTTTAAACACGTATATTTTCTGGTAAGCATAGCCTTCTGACCTTTAAGTGTCTGTTTCTCAGATCTCGGGGATAGAATTATCTCTGTATACTACTTCACCATCCAGCCACCAGGCGGCTATTGAGGACCAACTTAATGAAAGGTAAGCTTATACGTACACTATGCAGCGTAACCCAACATAATATCATGGCGGCAGTTTTCTTAGTTTTGTTTACAAATGCGAAGACTTATTTCTATATAATACGAAAAACTTAGTTTGTTTTCAATATTGTGCTATTTTTTTTATTTGTTGGGATAGTAAATTTTACAGTCATCTGGCTGACAGAGTCGCTTCCTCATATAATGTTTTGATGTATGGGATTTTTGTTTAACACAGAACAAACTGTTCCATCACTACTTCATTAATATGTATAAAGGGAGTGGTGAAATTGATTTAAAACATGCAAGATTTCGTTACATACAAACGAACCTTAAAAGGAATTGATATTTCGAAAACGTATTTAAACTCACGTGGAGAGCTGTTATTCATCACGCAATAGAAACAATGTAGAGAAAAGAACTAATATGGTGACTATAAACAATGTGGGGAAGAGAAGTGATGTGATATCATTACAAACAATGTGGGGAAGAGAAGTGATATGATGTCACTTCAAACAATATAGAGAAGAGAACTGATGTGATATCATTACAAACAATGTGGGGAAGAGAACAATGGGGTATCATTACAAACAATGCAGAAAAGATAACTGATATGGTGTCACTACAAACAATGTAGGGAAGAGAAGTGATATGATGTCACTTCAAACAATATAGGGAAGAGAACTGATGTGATATCATTACAAACAATGTGGGGAAGAGAAGTGATATGTGCCACTACAAACAATGTAGGGGAAAGGAACTGATGTGGTATCATTACAAACAATGTAAGGAAGAGAACTATGGGGTATCATTACAAACAATGCAGAAAAGATAACTGATATAGTGTCACTACAAACAATGTAGAGAAGGAAACTAATATTATGTTATCACAATTACTTCCCATTTTGTATTAATATTTTATTTAGCATTACGTTCGCCAAAAGAATTGATTTAAAATGATATGGATAAAAACTGAGATTACCGAAGTTATGGGCGTCTTCATTTGAACAAGATTGTGTTACTATTTTTACTTACTTAGTAGTATAGGTTATACATTACTCTGAAGATAATCGTGAATTCGTTTAAAATTTAAATAAATCTCAGATCCTACAGTATTTTATATCTTTCGAACAAAAAACATAATTATGAGCAGATGAACATGGACCACGCAGAAACTGTTAAATATATAAAAAAGAGAGAGTCCGCACGTATTAATGTAATAATGTCTTTATGAAGCTATAAATACGTTTTAGATGCCCTAAGTTAATTGAGATGTGTACGACATTAAATAACATTTATACTAGTATATTTTGGTATATCTTGAATTAAACATTATAATCAGGATTTTAAGAAACCATATCTGATTCTTACAGTGAATCTCGTGACAAAAGTGATGATAGCAGTGCCAATAGTGACTTGGTTTCTCGCCACCTGGTGATGCCTAAAAGAATGAAACTTTTCCCAACAGACAGAGGTAAGTAAAATTATGATAGCATACAGCCTTTAATTAGTAATTTTGTTTCTTTACATTACTATACACGATACCAATAGGCAAAAAATATTCATAGAACAATGGTGCAAAATACACTTAAAACTCATTTTTACAAACATACTTTTGTGATTAAATGTGTCAGCATCACAATGTTCTTTAAGGTGAAATTAATAATAAGTTCAATTTCAGGTGGTCATTCTTTTATTTAGCAGAACAATTAACTCATCTTCCCAGTTAAGTCTGTCTTAGTTTGTTCATGCGCATCTCCTTAATGGAGAAGCGTTCTATTACAGTTTCTTTACAGACCCTTTATCATTAACGTTATTTACTTATAATTTTTTAAAACAGTAATTATCGACTTTTTCTCCTTTTTGAGGTGTGCTTCTTACAATTGCACTCGTACTGTTTTGTATACATTTTGTACACATAATATGCATCCTATCGTCTTTTCAAGATACTACTTTGATTGTATATAATACTGGTTACCTGTTATCAAAATAGGTCACTAACATATGAAGCATTGTAAATAAAAATAACCCAACTTACAATATTCGTTTCTACATTTACGGAGTGCGAGATTTATCTGTAGTGAACGTCATCTCTACAAATATAATTTTATGGCTAGCATCACCAGTTATTCAATATTATTTAATTGAATTATCTTCCTTTATTGTTCAGTGAACAAGAGCATCGTTTATTTCCAGTCACGATTATTGTTATTATATTCATCACAAGTCACGTTCAGTTTTAACTTTCTTCAACGTTCAGTACCTTCTGCCGTTTGCTTTAAATGGAGTGTTAGTTTTTCTCTACCACAGTGAGTCATGGTATTAATCAAATCTGCATGCAGCAAATGTAATGCGATAACAATTTCAGTAACAAATCGGATTAAAGCAACGAAACAGCAACTTGTAAGAGAAACAAACGACTTACCTTTAATACACAATAAGAAAATGTTCTTCAAAGGACAGAACAATCGAATTTAACATGCTTTTAAATTACAGTTGTGCTGTAAATTAGTTATCTCCCCGTTATTTTCGATTTTCAAATTAGTTTTCTAGTGCATTTATCGTTTCTTGTTAAGTTAGCTGTCAGTGTCTTTTTTTCTTTTATTTATGTATTGTTCAAATACCCAAAGTGTCCCCGTCGCTTATTTTATTTATTTGACTTTTCCCCATCCAGTTCTTATTTATGCCAGACGGGAGGATGAAGAGATATTCCACACCTTTCATTTAGTCCCTCCCTCTCTTGCTGGCTTGGCATCTGCGGTAAGTGGACAAAAATATGACGTGTAGACGGTTGATCATATAAATTTCTAGGTCTATACAATCCCTATAAATTACGTCAAGTTATAACCCTAGAATGCTAGGTAATGAAATATGCAATAACTACGAAACACCATAAGACCAAATTCAATCTATCATCTCCAAAATTTATTCCTTCAAAGAACTGATTTTGAGTCTCTGATGACTAAATTCAAACAAGTAAAAGTCAAATCTTTTAGCATACGGCATTTAATTGAAAACAAGTTATTCTAATACATAATCTGAAAGCGTTTAATTGAGATCTTATGAAGATTAAGATGAAATATATTGACATTTTTCACCTTCATTTTTTCATATTAAATTCGACTTTTTGTTAACTACAGAGAAGAAGAAATTACTATGTTGTAACTTGACAAATAAATATTTTTGGCGCCTTTTATTTGTTTTCTGTTGGTTATGTCAAATGAGGTTAGAGCTACAACGCTCAAATGATAGAGAAGCTTGCTACACCTATTTCAATGCAGATAACTACAGCTACTAGTCAATCCACTTTCTTGCTACACCTCTTTTCTGCCTGCTAATTCCTTCCCATTACTGTTCTTTTTGTGTTATCTCTTCATCCAGAGGGGTTGTTTTAAAATTTCAAGAGACTGGAACAAAAAATATGAGGTATCCACGAAGTAAATATATGAAGGTGATACCTTACACTGAGTTTTTCTTTCTTGTATAATCCGAGTTCTTGTACATGCGCTCAGTACAGATTTGTATATTAACTATTCATATGCCTAATCCAAAAGAAGTGGATCAAAACCTCACTCCTAGAAACAAAATCTTGAATCCTGATCATGTTTATCAATAGCATGTTATTGCATGCCTTTATCGTCGGTAGCCTGGAATTTCGCTCCATAAATAAACCCCATTATTTGAAAACGTGAAGACTCGAAATCTTGTATATTTAACTCATTTGATAAAGTTTACAAGTTGAAATTGAAAGAAATACCTTTGTTTTAGTAAAAAAGTCAAAGTTATCAATTGTTCCTATTTGTATTGCACATTACTAAGACTCACTCACACATACAAACTTTCTTGTTGTGGTTCCTCAGAAAGAGATTCATTTTCCCATCCCAACACACTATATCATACTAGGTTATCAAATCAACCATATTTTTGTTTTTCTGAATTTGCCCATAATCAGTTTAGCCTTTTTGTTATTTACGTATTTTGATATACGTATATTATTCACTATAAAACGTTCAGAGGAGCAGTTTTTACACCGGTTTGATTTTTTAGTGTTTGTATTCTAATGTTGGTTTTATGATTTGGTCTGATCCATTAATAAAATCTCTTTTTAAGAGTTTAACTTACTTATTTTAAGTCATCTTGTAGTAATTAAGGTATATGCATAGTAATACAATGCATATAAAGTTATGTTTGTAAATATTTACTCTGCTTCAAATAGGAATATTCTTTAAATTTAATTTACTAAAGAATACTTGTGTAACCATTGTCACAGCAATTTTTAGAGTCCATCAACATTAACTTGTTAGTATCTTATACAGTACAACAATAACAAATGTGTTTTTACGAAAAATGCGTTTTAAAGAGCTGGTGGTATGTTTTGTTTTAGGTGGAATCCAAGTACCAGATTTCGAAGCAGAACATCAGAAATATTTACAAGCGCTGTAAAAAAGGGTGAGCTATTTTTTGATAATTCTTACTTTTCTGTTAATAAAACTTATAAACACAGAAGTGAATGAATTTAGTGTTTCTTTTCATAACAGAACAAGTATCGAAATAACTACACACAAATAAACAGTAAACTTTCGTTATTATCCAACAGCTGATTCTTTTATAATCACACCTTCAATATTACTGTTGGTGTATCTGCTAAGTATGAGAAATCGATAACACCAAAACCTCGCATATCAGTAATAATGATAATAAACAAAACGAATGTTGATTAATATTTTTAGTTCACCATTTTCTGTATAAATATTTTCTAGTACTACTTCTTTTATAATTTCGTACACCAGTTAATTTATTGCATGTCATTCTCACAGTATTACTGTGCACATGGACGACGAAATCATCCAACACTACTCCAACGAAGACACTTTTCTCATTGAGTTCAAACAAGTGGGCAACGATTTATTTGATGTAACGATGGTGGAACTATGAAGCCAGAATGTGTTGTCATAGTTGGTGGAATGGGAAGCCTCACTGTTGGATTACAGAACTGCAATATCAGAGACAATAAAAGATAAAGAGTTTAAATCTTATTGTGGATAAATCTGAATGTGTTAGCTCGTCCCAGGTGCTTCCTTTTCACAGTATGCTGGGAAATTCCACTTTGTCTACTGCTACTTTTGGATGAAGAGAACATTATTAAATGCTATGTGAAAATGTGTGTGTTCTTTTAGAAGCCTTTGGAAGCTAAGATGGAGAATTAAACTCTGATGAAATTGGCATAAAATTAATGATGAAAATGCAAGAAAGTGGGGTTTATGATTTTGCATATTTTAGCATAATTAATGAATAAAGTTATTCTTTAATATTTCACTGCAACATATAAACAATGTTTTTGTCATTTTACTTACTTACAAGACTAATTTGGAAATAATATTGGAAAATAAAGCAACTTTAAATTATTTTGAATTTAAGAAATGATCCCTATATAGGCCTCATCTAGAAGTTTGTGTCTCTCCAACTTGGCTTCCGGCTACGACTGGATCGTGTCTTGTATTATTTTGTACATATTTTATATGGCTTGTGCATCGAATATATATATATTATGATTATATTATTTCAGCATACTGCAATGAATTTTCCTAGATTTGAATGCCTTTTTCGTGATATTATTGATCTAACTGCTTTTATTATTGTCTGTATTGTTCATTTCACGTGATTTTGTTTTATGTCTGGCACAGTCTAAGTGACAGTAGAATAACAATACTATAGTGTCACATTAAGCTTAACGTCAGACAGGTGTAGGGAAAACAGTAGGATGATATTTGTGTAAATGTACTGTCGCCTGACAAAGGGGTTTATGTTTGCAATTCTTGATCTCGCATTGCCATGGTTTAATTTGTTTTCTAATAGTATATGTAGTTTTTGTTTTTTTTCTTATTATATATATATATATATATATATAAGTTATGTTGTTCTTGAGTCATAAACTTAAATTCTGTGTTAGTGATTTTAATTGAGGAATAAATCTTTGTTTTTTAAAATGCACATGAACCTTTAATTTCCTGATTATTCTTATAAAATTATTCTTTGGTCTCACAATTTTTATTAGAATTAATGATGGTGTATTATATTTGATGATTCAATTATATGCAGGAAGACAGGTCACAAATATTAAGCCTAAATTTGTTTCATAATTTGAAACATACAATTGATAAGTTTTAGGTTTGATAAAAATTGAATGAAAGGTAAAACTATTAAGACTTTTAAAATCATTTTAATAGAATTAGACTTATTGTGATTGAATAATGAATTCTGGAAAATTGAATTGTTCCTATTTCTGATATGAATGTGGTTAACTGAAGTACAAAAATTTCAGTCAAAGAAATTATAAGAAACAAATATCATATTGAAGATCTCTCTGGAAACTTAACATTATTGTATTTCAAGAGCAAAGAAACATCATTCATAAAGTGTGTAGCTTGAATGATTGTTTTATTTTTTGTTAAAGCAGTTCTGACAACATAATGAAGCTTACAGTTATGATATTTTGTAGTCTAGCTGCAGTGATGTGTTGTATTAAATATTTTATTTTTTCGCTGATGAATGTTTAGAAACCAGATTTAGAATCTATCACTGTTTATTATGTGTTTATGGAACACATTACAGTTAATAAAAATGCAAGTCTGGTTGAAATAAATTTTCAAGTTGGTACGTATAGCTTCTAAATAATAGTTTTTTTTTAAGTTTGTGAAACCACAAGTGAAACTTTTTTTAGATATGAATGGATAAGACAATATGCATCTTTTAAAAAATATTATAATAGTGAGGATTTAAAAGCATAAACTGACAATGAACCTTATGGTAATGTTTTAATAGCATTCAGACTATTTTAATATTGTTATATCTGTGAAAATATTTGGTTATTTTGGAAAAGTAAGATACAGTTGTATATAGAGTTGAAAATCACATTTATTATTCTACAGCACTTGGCCTTAATGGTATTTTGGGAAGACGTAAATACATAAACATGGCAGGTGTAAACTTCTCTTAAATAAATCTCTCAACTTTTTTTTTTATTATTTCAGTGCAAGACATAGTACTCTGATTTTCTTAAAAATTACTGAAATTTAAACAAATATATTAAAACAGTTTTATAATATGATTGTGATTATCCAGATGGCATATATTTCATTTATAAAGCAATTTGCAGAGAAAGGATCTATATCTTCACCACTTGTAAGGATATTTATAGATTGTCCCATAAATAGTTTGCATAGGGAGCCTCACTTTCCTTTTGTGTACTTTGTTAGAGATATATTGTATCTAAAAACATACCCTTATAATTTGATATCATTATAATTTCAGATAGTGAGATTTGTGCCTTACCAACTTAATGCTTAAGATCTATTTAAATGTATGATTATATTTGTATGTTTAAAGACTTGTAATATTTGATATGATAAATTTAAAGAAGAATTAACTGTTATAAACTTTACACTAGATCATAGACAAATCTAATGAATAGTGTGTCCAATGAAGTTATAGTTTATTACTTTTTTAAAAAGCTTGTAATAGTGCCCATAAACATTTTAAATGAGTACTTTTATTTAAGCAAATAATTTTCCTTCTAAGATGCCCATATTTTACTTTTTGGACGTACCAGCATCCAACTAGTAGATGTATGGAGATATAGAACAAAGCTCGTGGAGCCTTATCTTGAAATTTAGTGAACATTAAAGTATTTATGCTGAGAGCTGTATAAATACAAAAGGAAAGTTGGTTTACTCCTAGTGTTGGAATGTATGACTTAGTACAAGCAGTAAATAATTCAGGTTGAAAATATGACAGTATCAAGCAAGATTGTTACTTTATGAATCCAGTCACTGGGTAGTTTCCGTAGAATGTTATTAATAACGAGATGACAGTTGAATGTTGATGTAAAACTGTGTATTTTCAAGGTTGTTATTTGAAGCACTCATTAATTATTTGCATTCTGTGTGAGCAGACTATGCAATTTGGGTGGTGCTTTAATTGATGTTCTATATAAAATTTATATAGATTTTTTTTATGTAATACAAAAGTAGTAAAAGGAAAATATTTTTCCTTCAAGACAGAGTGTTTCTTCTCTAAAAGGAATTAAATCTCCAAATAATATATGCTCTACAATATTTGTTTCCTTACAATCAGAGGTACTGAGAAATATATCATTTGTTATTTAAAAAAAAAAAAATCATTTAGCAGCCACAAAACCTTTGATGTGGTATAGCAGTTGATTACGTAAAACCTCAGGCTAAATATGACTTATGAAGGTAGTACTTATTGGAATGCAAAATATGTTTAAATTATCACCAAAAAAGACCAGAAACATGGTACTTAATTTCTTGTTAATGATACAGTTTAAGTGTAAAACTATTGTTATAATGTTGGGATGTAATTGTTGAGAATTCTTGAACATAATTGTTACTGTATTTTTGTATTATGGTGTCAAACCATTGTTTTGAGATTTTTAGGATGTTTTAAAACACTATTTGGAAAAACATTTAGTATTACTGAAGAAACACTTGTTGTGGCATCTAATTTTAATATTTCAAAAGATGTTAATACTATATTTTTCACTATAGGATAAATATACAATATTTTCATGTCAGTGTTTTTGTAAAACCTGTTTAGTTTGTAGTTCTTCATGAAGCATGAACTCAATGCAAGTCTGAACATAGTTCCATTTAGAGTACACAGTAGACTTGGATGTAATTTAGATGTTTATTCCATGACTTGTTAAGTCAGGAGAATCTAACAACTAAGGCAAACTACTAAGTTGTATACACTACTAATGACTCACCAAGTATTAGCATTTTAATACAGTTTGCATTGTCGTTTTATAAATCAGCTGTGGTGAGATATTTCTTATATGTATTTTTGTAAAAGGAATATATATATATATATATATTTGTAAATTCATGAAGGTAAACGAACATAGCTAATCAATTTTAATAGTGCTAATTCATGAAGAAAGAATCAGACCAAAGTAGTTGTTTTGGTGCCAAATACCAGAATTTTTATGATTATTCTAATAAAATGTTGGGTTTCTTAAATTCTTATGTGCACATAGTTATGGAAGGTAATTCCAAAAAAATTACAGTTTAAATTGTTCCATAATGTTCCAACAGATGCAGAATTACTTCTGACCCAACACCCGGATTTGTGTACAGAGTATCATTTCCAACTGGCTTGATTTGAACACTACAACAAAAATGAATTTTTAAGATTGGTAATGGAATTTTTGCTTCCAAAACAAGCAATAAAACTGACGAGTTTTCTTATACAAAAAGAGGAAACGCTAGCTACGGAAAAATTCTACAAGTCAAGTAATTGAAAAAGTATTGGCGTTTAAATCCAAACCCAAAATTTCATTGTAACCTTGATATGACCTTGTTCTATGGCTGTTCTCTTAGCAAGACATTTTGGCATAATAGCATTCCATAGATGTTTTTTTAGCTACATTATTTATTACTCAAGTAGTAAATACAAAACACGCTTGTGACATTTTTGTGTATTTGATATAGGAAAAAAAGTATCATATATTAGTTTTTTTTCTTTAATAATAATTCTGGAATAATTTGGTACCACGGGCGTACATATAAACATTTGCCTGCAAATGTACGCAGCCATTACATAAATCTTAGGGTTGGAATAAAGAGATAGCAAGGTTCCGTGACTTGAAGCTATGTATTGACTTCTATTTCAAATTCATGTAACACAGGTCACAGATGTGCTTGTTAAAATGCCTTGGGTGGTAAGATTTTTCATGTCCTTTTACTATTCTATGTAATGTGGTTATTCCTGTTGAATAAGTGCCAAGTACCCCGGTTTGTCCAAGTCCTGATGCACTTTTTATACGATATTTGTAAGATGTTAAGTTAAAGGTGATAAAGTGTTGTCTGGCCTGCATAATATATATTAGAATGTAAACAGCATGATTTTGCTTCTCAGTATATGCCTTGAACAAAAATAAAGTTTTTTTTTCCCTTGAGGACAAATTTCGACTCTTGTCAGATTAATCCAGCACTAGAAATAATACCAATACAAACTCCACACTGGCTTAAAACAAACCATCTAAATTTACTACAAGGTTATTTTCGTATTATAATAAACCCAGTTTGTAAGTGTGGTCATTGTAACTCTTAGCGAACGAAACTGACCAGCTAAAGTAGGTTTAGGCTGATCTCGGCCCAGTGGTTCCGTGGTTTGCGCCCCTTTACCACCGAAAGAAAATTAGAAAAACTCATTCTACGAACTTTTGGGGCCGTGTGTGGATTATAAGAGTAATAGTCCAATTCCACTATTCGATTAGAGTAACCCACGAGTTGGCGGTGGGTAGTGTTAACTATTTTCTTTCCATCAGTCTTGTGCAGAAAGCCCTCGAGTAGCTTTG